ACACACACACACACACACACACACACACACAAACATACACACTCCATCACACATCGCCTCCCCCACAAACATCTGTACACACAAACATAATAGGCCTACAATAGTGCAGTCAAAAATTCGTGGCGCAGCTTATCCTCAAATATCTCTTGAGCGGGTGAATCAAAGTCATCCACAGTTTGTGTAGCAGTTTGTATCAATTTGTCCACAACAATTGAGGCTACATTAAAAAAAACAACAACCCCTGTTCTTCATAAATTTATAGACAATGCTACAAATCTAAGTCACGCGGAAAATGGGATAGTTCACAGCACTTTCCATGCGCATATAATATATTATTATTATTTTGGCCTACGTCACAGCTCACTAAGGACACTTTTTAGTGGCAAATATTGCTACACGAAGTTAATTTTATTGTGAACACAAATTTTGCACTGAAGGTTCTCAAGACATGCTTTCAATAAAATAGTGTCAAGACTAGAAAAAAAAAATGGCAGACTTGTTTTTAAAAGTTATATTGCCCCAGCTGTAAACCTTTTAAATTTGTAAGCACTTTTCACTTTTGATTTTTTTCGTAAGTATTTAATCAGGACTTTTCTAGAATACAGCTAACAGGTGTATACAAAAATATTGATCTTTTAGACATATTGATACAAGTCACTTTGCAAAAGCTGGAGAATTTATGTTCAATAGTTTAGAGAATGTTTGACAATAAGTTGCGCCGCGAATTTTTGACATCGCAATATATTAGTATGCTTGCACTCACAAACAGGCTCATAGTCACATAAAAAATATAAATGAATAAATAATAATTATAAAAAATTCATAGTGTTAAGTGTCAGTATTATGATTGTAACCTGTGATATTCTACTTCTGATTGCCTTAAAGGTCATCGAATACTTATAATTCATTTTAAAAATAATGTCGGGTTTTATTTATTAGTTAAAATCTGCTAAATAAAAATAAGTATTAGAATAAATATTTATATTCCAAAAATGTTTTCTGTGGCAACAAAAACAATATCAGTATCGAAGTTGGAAGTCAATCTGCCCCAGCCCCTTTCATGTCTCCAGCCTTAAGTGGAAGCTCCTTATACCGTCATTCAGTCCTGCTCTCATTAGCTGCATTGCAGCTCATTGTCAAAGTACTTTGAAGAAATATTTAAAAAATAAATTACAGAAAAATGATACTTTTATAATATAAAAGTAGTATTCCTGCAATTTGCTTTTTAATATCTATATTTTTCATTAACAATGAAACAACGTGACAGGAAATCTTACATATAGGCTACGATAAGAAAGGAACCCAAAGTCGAAAACTTAGGCCAACACAAAACAAAATTTGTTTTCAACTCACAATGTGTGTCAGCACTGAGCAGCCCAGAAGGAATGAAAACTTCCGATCAATGGAAGGGCGTTTTTATGCCACAAAATCGTAGCCTAGTAGAGTCTGACCTGAGTTTTCACCTCAACCCCACTACAACAAGGGCATAATATGTCATCTAACTTTCAACAAATGATAATTCTGTAAGCAGCTTGCAGGTCAACAGTTGCCTCTTCAGATAGAGGGCGAAAGAGTGCTTAGTGTTAAAAACATGCGATAAGACCTGCTTCGTATACATGTTTCATTTTCGCAAGCATGGTATTGAGGAATGTAAGACGCGCGACTTTGTTTCCGTTTGCCAGCCAAACTAGAACGGGGGTGAGGTTAGCCTATGGAGGGGAGGGTGGGGG